TTTAGAGGAATTGGCTTAAGTTTCTCTCCATTCAGTTTGATGTTGGCAGTTGGTTTGCTGTATATTGCTCTTATTATGTTTAGGTATGTTCCTGTTATCCCTGACCTCTCCAAGACCTTTATCATGAAAGGGCGTTGAATTTTGTCGAAGGCTTTTTCAGCATCTAGGGAGATAATCATATGGTTTTTCTTTTTCTGTTTGTTTATATGGTGGATCATGTTGATATATTTTCGTATGTTAAACCATCCCTGTATTCCAGGTATGAAGCCTACTTGGTCATGGTGGATGATTTCTCTGATGTATCCTTGAATTCGGTTTGCCAGTATTTTATTGAGTATTTTTGCATCGATGTTCATCAGGGATATTGGTCTGTAGTTTTCTTTCTTAGTTGTGTCTTTGTGAGGCTTGGGTACCAAAATTATTGTGGCCTCATAAAAAGAGTTTGGCAATGAACCTTCTGTTTCTATCTTGTGGAACAGTTTGAGGAGTAGTGGCATTAGTTCTTCCTTGAATGTCTGATAGAATTCTGCGCTGAATCCATCTGGCCCTGGACTTTTTTTGGTTGGAAGGCTTTCGATGACTACTTCTATTTCATTGCGGGTTATAGGTCTATTTAAGTTGTTTGTCTGTTCTTGATTTAATTTTGGTAAGTGATAGTTATCCAGAAATTTGTCCATTTCCTTTGAATTTTCAATTTTTGTGGAATACAGATTTTCAAAGTATGACCTGAAAATTGTCTGGATTTCCTCTGTGTCTGTTGTTATGTTCCCCTTTTCATTTCTGATTTTGTTAATTTGCATGTTCTCTCTGTGCTTTTTCGTTAATTTGGATAAAGGTTTGTCTATCTTGATTTTCTCAAAAAACCAACTCTTCGTTCATTGATTTTTTTGTATTGTTTTTCTGGTTTCTATTTTGTTGATTTCAGCCCTCAAGTTGATTATTTCCTGGTGTCTACTCCTACGGGGTGAATTCGCTTCTCTCTGTTCTAAGGCTTTCAGTTGTGCTGTTAATTCTCTTATGTGACTATCCTCTATTTTCTTCATATTGGCACTTTGTGCAATGAACTTCCCTCGTAGCACTGCTTTCAAGGTGTCCCATGAGTTCGGGTATGTTGTATCCTCATTCTCGTTGAATATTAGAAAGTCCTTAATTTCTTTCTTTATTTCTTCTTTGACCTAGGAGTGGTGCAATTGCACATTGTTCAGTTTCCATGAGTTTGCAGGTTTTCTGCTATTTGTGTTGTTGTTGAATTCCAATTTTAAAGCATGGTGGTCTGATAAGATACAGGGAACTATTCCTATTCTCTTGTAGCTGTTGAGGTTTGTTATGTCACCTAGTATGTGGTCGATTTTAGAGAAGGTTCCATGTGGAGCAGAGAAGAAGGTATATTCTTTTGTCTTTGGATGAAATGTCCTATAGATGTCTGTTAACCCCAGTTGAGACATGACTTCTGTTAATTCTTTTCTTTCTTTGTTGAGTTTCTGATTTGTGGTCCTGTCTAATGTTGAGAGTGGTGTATTGAAGTCTCCCACTATAAGTGTGTGAGGTTTTATATGAGCTTTGAGTTTTAGTAGTGTTTCTTTTATGAATGTGGGTGACTTTGTATTAGGGGCATAGATGTTCAGAACTGAGACTTTGTGTTGATGGATTTCTCCTGCAATGAATATGAAATGACCGTCTTCATCTCTTTTGACTAATTTTGTTTTGAAGTCTAACTTGTTAGATATTAGGATAGCTATGCCTGCATGCTTCTTATTTCCATTTGATTGGAAAATCTTTTCCCAACCCTTTACCCTGAGATAATGTCTATCTTTGAAGCTTAGATGTGTTTCTTGTATGCAGCAGAAGGATGGATTCTGTCTTCGTATCCATTCTGTTAGCCTGTGTCTTTTTATAGGTGAGTTAAGACCATTAATGTTGAGGGTGAGTAAGGACATTGATTGTTGATGCTTGTTTGATTTAGGTTTGTTGTTGGCAGTGGTATTGTGAATATATTAGTTCTGCTTTACCCTTGGTTTCTAGTGTAGTTGGATTATCTGTTGCCTACATTTTTGTGGGCATAGTTACCTTCCTTGGGTTGGAGTTTTCCTTCTAATACTTTCTGTAGGGCTGGATTTGTAAATACGTATTGGGAAAATCTGGTTTTGTCATTAAATATCTTGTTCTCTCCATCTATAGTGATTGAGAGTTTTGCTGGATATAGTAGTAGCCTAGGCTCGCATCCGTGTTCTCTTAACACTTTTAGAACATCTATCCAGGACCTTCTGGCCTTGAGGGTTTCCATGGAGAAGTCAGGTGTAATTTTGATAGGTCTGCCTTTATATGTTACCTGTCCTTTTTCCTTCACTGCTCTTAATATTCTTTCTTTATTCCTTATGCTAGTTGTTTTAATTATTATATGTCGAGGGGACTTTTTTCTTTGGTCCAGCCTATTTGGGGTTCGGTATGCTTCTTGTACTTTCATGGGCATGTCCTTCTTCAGATTTGGAAAGTTTTCCTCGATGATTTTGTTGAATATGTTTTTGGCACCTTTGAGCTGAGCTTCCTCACCTTCCTCTATGCCTATTATTCTTAGGTTTGGCCTTTTCATGGTGTCCCACATTTCCTGGATGTTTTGTGTTAAGGATTTGTTGGATTTATGATTTTCTTTGGTCGATGAATCTATTTCTTCTAGTTTATCTTCTGCGCCTGAGATTCTCTCTTCCATCTCTTGAATTCTGTTGGTTATGCTTGTGTCCATAGTTGCCGATTTTTTGCCCAGCTTTTCTATTTCCAGCATTCCTTCAGTTTTTGTTGCCTTTATTTTCTCTATTTCAGTTTTCAAGTCTTGAACTGTTTCCATCACCTGCTTAATTGTTTTTTCTTGGCTTTCTGTACTTTCCTTAAGGAATTTGTTCATTTCTTCCACTTTTTTGTTTGTTTTTTCTCCATTTCTTTAAGGGATTTTCTCACATCTTCTTTGAGGGCCTCTATCATTTTTATGATTTTTTTTTTTTTTTCCTCCCCTTCCTCCTCCTCTTCTTTCTTTTTTTTCTTTCTTGTTGTTGTATTTTCTCCCCCTTCTGGTTTTTTTCTCCTTTTCTTTTTTTTTTTGGTTTTTTTTTTTTTTTGCCTTCTTCCCATAGCTTCTTCCAGTAGGTGTTGGTGGGGTCTCCCCCTCTCTCTATGGTACTTCCCTGGTGAGCTTATGTGGGTCTGTGATTCAATATCTGTAGCTCTGTGTGGTCCAAGCTCTCTAGGAGGTTTCTCCACAGACAGAGACCCAGGGATGGGGTCAAGGATGAGGATCCAGAAGAAGATGCCAGCAGGTACTCACAGTGGTCCCGCAGAGATTGGCGGATCTCTGGGAGGGGCCCGGGGCTCCAGCAGAGGACTGGAGGTGGGGTCAGAGACCAAGCAGGTGGAAATTACGGGTGGTCCTGTGTGGATAGTCAGGTCTCCTTTGTTCAGAGTTGCTCCAAGAAGTCTCTGAAGTAGGGTGGATTGTTGGCTCCACCCTCTGTCCCAGTGCTCAACCAGAGCAGCAGGACCGTGGGTGGGGTAGGGCACAGGGTAGGGGAGTAAGCTCGCGGTGGGGATGGGTGGGGGTGTATCAGAGCTCCAAGGGTGCTCTGGATGGGGACCAGAGACATGGGCAGCAGGATCAGGGGCCAACCCAGGGAGTTCGGGCAGGGGAGGGGAGCGGAGAGGTTGTAGGTGACAGGCAGCCCTGATTGGGCCCAGACTCACCTCTGGCCAATAGCTGGGGAAGAGGGCAAGGGCTGAGCTGGAACTTGGGAAGGTTTTGCAGAATAGTCGGATCTCACTGGAAACTGGAACTCTCCAGCTGAGGCCTCTTTCTTTAGCAGAGGCCCGGATTTGGGGGTCAAGGATCTTGCCTGCAGGAACTCAGAGTGGACCCGCAGAGATAGGACTCTGGTAATCTTAAATTGGGAATGCTTTTGCTTTCTGATGTTTAAGGGTTTTTATTGTTACCATTTTCTAACCAAATTTCATTTGTGATTTATATTAATTAATCTAGGAGGCAAATTATGTTTATGCTGTCTTGCCGGAGTAGGGTCCTCTGAGTGGTTTAATCTAGTGTTTGATCAATATAGTAGAGCTACTAATTCATGTTTTGCTATTGTCATAAACACCGTGACCCAAAACAACTTTGGGGAGGAAAGGGCTTATTTGGCTTGCAGGTTACAGCCCATCATTCTGGGAAGCCACGACAGGATCTCAAGGCAAGGATCTGGAGGCAAGAACTGGCTTGCTGGTTGTAGATCACTCTGCTTGCTTTTTTATACAACCCAGGACCACTGGCTCTAGGTGACATCACCCACATTGACTTGAGCTCTCTCACACCAATCATTAATTAATAAGATTGCCCACAGGCTTGCTTACAGGCCAGTATGTGTGAGACATTTTCTCAATTGACATTCCCTCTGCTCAGGTGACAGTAGTTTTTCAAGTTGACAAAAACAAAACAAAACAAAACAAAACAAACAAAAAAAAATAAAAAACAAAACTGCCAGCAAAGTAGATGATAGGAAAAAATGGATTTACACGCAGATCACCTCTGAAACCAGTCAGAATTTGGCAGTATGCTGTCTAGACTCAAATTGGGAGTATCTAGAAGAATTGAGCCCCTCGATTCTTACCTTACCCTGGGGTTAAGACAAATAGAACCATTGTGTCCCTTGGTTCCTTTTCCTCCCCTCTGCTAGCATTTCCTTGATAATGCATATCCATTCTTACCTTCCTTCCCCTCTAGTTTCCTGCAGGTTCCTCCTTGCTCTCCAGTTGATCCAGGGTCCAGTTTTCATTAAAAGCTCTAGCCCAGGTTGTACTTCACACATCTTCTCTTGGTTCTACTTTAACTATGACCTGTTCTTAGTGAACTTGTGAGTCTGTGCAGTTCTAGGAGACATGGAGTTCGTTCTGCTTCTTGCCTTGTTCTTTGCATTTCCTTTCTCTCCTTATGAGGCCCTAACAGTGATCTCTTCTTTCTTTGCCAGGTGTTTTTGGATAACAACTACATAGGAGTCCTGGATCATTACAACGATGAACTACTTATTGTGAAAAATGTATATAACACAGTCCATGGATGAGACATTCCGGTTACAGCTAGGCCTGGGTTCAAGAATTAGTGAGGCCTTATTATAGATAATTTACACTCCTGTGCCCATGGTCTGCTCCATGCAGAGGAATCCAGCAATCACAGGGAGGTTTACCTACATCTTGGAGGTACTGGTGAATGTTCTCTGAGTGAACACCACACTCCTCCCTTGAATATTCACTGCTCAGAGCGCACTGCCTTCATCACCAGTCCAAGAGAGTCCTTGTTTAAATGTTTAGGTGACTCTACCTGGGAAGGGAGAAGAAAAGCTGGAGTACAGGGCTTGCCAGTCCCATAGCTGGAGATCCATAAGGTTCTGAGGCCTGTGGTCTGTCAGCTACCTGCTCATCTCCTGTCCCAGCTCCAGGGAATCCTAGATGGTCTAAGGGCAATGCCAATTGAAGCTTATTCTGGTCTCCCTAAAATAGACCTCCAAGAAAGGCCAGAGCCTGAGAATACTGGTGGAGAACCAAGGCCGCCTCAGTTCCGGGCAGGATATCAACAAGGAGAGAAAAGGTGGGTTCTAGAAGAAGATGGCTGAGGTAGTATAGCATCAGATGCCACTGCTCTTCCTCAAGCCAATGGCAGCTAGAAATAGGTTTGTGTTTGGAAAAGAGCTTTTGTTGTTATTGTTGTTATGAGACACCTCTGTACAGAAACTGTGATACTTTTGGTTCTGTGGTTGCCTAGCCAGAGTCATCACACTGCCACTCGCTTTGGTGGTGGTTTTGAAAATGGTTCCAGCAGGAGAAAGCTAGCTAGTATTCCTCTCTAGGGATATCATGTCTTCATTTCCGGGAAACCAGGACTTATGTTTGTTCTTCTGCTTGGGTCCAGTACTCCCGAGCAGAGCCATGCCACACACTTTAAAAATAAAAATAAAACAAAACCATAAGTTCTCTGTCAAACCTGAGTATTCAAGCTAGCCAAAAGCCCTATGCTGGTCAGATCTATAGCAGTTGCTATAATTTTTGTGCTGTTACAGTAGTCTGTGAGGACTTATCTACGAGTGTACACTTCAGAGGATAATGTTGGTGTAGGAATTGGGCTTAGGCATCTTACTGGTAGAATACTTACTTAGCATGCCTGAAACCTATTGAGCCTTGGTGGTTCAATCCTTAGTACCACCAAGTAGAAGGGAAAATCTTTGAAGTTTATAGAAACCTTCCAGACAGATGAGGCCAAGAAAGCACCTTCCTGTGGGGAGAGGCCTGACTGCAGCCTGTGTATATCTATATCCTTCTCACCTCCTTCACATCCCCTTTCATTCCTGTTCTACAGGTTTAACTGGAGACATTTATCTGAACAAGACTCCACTAAGAAAATTTACAATCTACAGCCTGGAAATGAAAAATGCATTCATACAAACGTAGGTGCCTCAACTTCAGCTGATCAAAAGTGGCAAGGGTGGAGTTATAGCTCAGGGGCAGAGTATTTTGCTCAGAACATGTGAGGCACTGAGTTCAGTCAGAGTTGCAGATAAACAAAATAAGATAAAGTATTCCACAAAGCAGTAAATAAAGAGCTAGACTGATGCTCAGAGGTCTCCAGATGAAACCTCCTTTGGTATTCAGATGGGAAAAAAAAAAGCTAAGACCCAGAGTACCAAATGAAATGATGCCAAGTTTCATAGCTGTCTGGGAGCAGAGAAGCAATGGTCCCCTTGTTCACTGATTAATCCTGACTTAGGATGCATATCAAGGACATAGCTGGTACCACAGTGGGAGTGGGGTGCCAGGGTTCATAGAAGAGGTCACAGGTGGTATGTTAGAAAACAAGTGTAACTTCTCATTGACTCTTGATACCCTCTTAGGAAACTCCCTAAGTTGCCTGAGTCCTGGAAAACAGTGACAGGCCATGTTCTGGGCCCTGCCTTTTTCCTCAGTCACTTGAGAGTTGGAGATCCTCCCCAGGGCACCTATATAAAAGTGAAGGTTGGTGCCGTTTCTCTCCTGCTCTTGTGCCCCAGCCCCTGGCTCAAAGAGAACCTTCAGGAAAACTCGCCTGTATGTGAACCTTGTACTGTGACAGGGACCCAAGTCCCAGCCATTTCCTAGTCCTCCTGAAGGTGGCTTTCTTTGGGGGCCATTAGCATAGGGCAGGAAAATGAATAGTTGTAATAGAGGCATGTGCCAGTATGCCTGGCTGGTGCAAGCTCTGTACAGGGGTTTAGTGAGTGTGACCCGTAAGCCCTCACACGTAAGCTCAGATATAGAGATCTGTACCACTGGCATGGTACATGCCATGGTAAAGCATGTCATCCAGAGCACAGTGGCTACCATTCCTGCTATTCTACAGTTCGAACTATGTTTTGATGATAATTGGGTTGTAAGTGAGCATACTTTCTGCTGGTTTGGGCCAGACCTGAGAAAATAAAAAGGAAATTAGGTTTGATGCTGAGCCACCTCCAAGGCAGGGCAGTAGTACTGACTTGAGAGCACCCTCCCACATTTGGCTCTAGTTGTTATCAATCCATCTTTTCTCAATCTATGCTAAGGTTTAGTGTGTCACTGGGATAGGGGTCTATATGTCTTTACTGAAATTTCCCTGTCTCTTTCAGGGCTGGGGAAAGGGTGTCATTTTCATCAATGGACAAATCCTAGGACGATACTGGACTATCGGTCCCCAGGAAGCCCTCTATGTTCCCCACCCCTGGCTTCATCCTGGTGTTAATGAGGTAAATTCTCTCAGTGTCTCCTGCTTCCTAGTTCACTTTCTTTGAACTCCTTTCTGCTTCAGAAGAACTTGAACATCTGGCTGATTAACTTTCTTCTTTGTACAGATCATGATGTTTGAGGAGTTGAAAGGTAGCCAAAAGATTTACTTCAGTGAAAAGCCTGAACTAGGTATGACATTCCAAAGGGTCATTTCAGCTTCTGAGCACTTATAAAATAGATGGACTTTCTATTATGCTTATCACGGCTCCATTCATCCCTCCCATTTTAAGATGACTTAACTGGCTCCCTCTCCATCTGCTTCATTCTGCCTCTCTCAGCTTCCCTTTCTGACATTCCCACCATGTTTGTAGGATTCAAGCCTCACAGTGAGTCAATCCACTTCCATCCTAAAATTAACCTTCTCCCCATGGCTCTTTCTCAGGCCATAGGTACCCTTTTTAGTGCCCTTTAACCAGTTTTCATAGGTAAGGAATGCATGGAACAATTACTTATGTTGTACCCAAGTTGCAGAGTGTCTGTATTTGTCCCTTTTAGGCAGTTAGTTTTTGGGAACCCAGCCTCCCTTGAACCTTTTGTGGTCATAAGAGACAGATATCATCTGTCCTCTGACACCCAGGGCTAGCAATCAAGCCTGAGATTCTGTGTATGCCATGCAAATGCTCTGCCACCTTGCCACACCCCAGCTCCAGACAGCCTTATATAGAACCACTTGCCCCACTTTAGTAGTCTTTATGGGCCTACTGAGCAAGCTTTCTTGTCCCCTTGCGTCAAAGTTTTACCCTCTTTGGGGATGGGCATGTGACACATAATAGGCTAATTAGGTTTTCTTTTTCAGGTCACTGAGTCTCAAGTAGTGTGGTATAAGCTAGAAAGACAGCTGAATCATATCCACAGTGGTGCTGGGAGTAACCCATCAGTTCTGGCACATAGGTGGATCTCCGCATCTACCTCGGCTTCTCTTTCTAGTCTATGCCAGACTTGGGTCCTGCCATCCACCTCCTCACTTGATAGCAAACCTATCTCTTAACTTGTTAACTCATCTGTTTCTGATGTTTACACAACATGAGCTTTTCCTGTACACTTCCTTTGTCATGTTTCTTTTATAAAAAGCTCTTTGACCCAGCAAATAACAATCAGGAAAAACCAAAGCAAGAAGATGTTTAAAATACTTGACATTGCAAATGTAAATCTGAGAATATTTCCAAGAAATCAAATAAAATAGAAACTGTAGGCAATGACACGGTTATCATATATGGTTTCTGGTTTTAGAGTAAAAAAAAAAAAAACAGTAATGATGCTTCCTTTTATTTCTCCATTGGTCATGCCATACTACTGATTTTCCATATGCAGATAAAAAACCCTTGCTTCTTGGAGGCTGTGTCAGTCAATAGGGATTTCCCCACCTTTGGCATCTGCTTTACAGTTCCTGTTAACTACCTGATCTATACTTGGTCCTCCTAGAATATTTTAAACCCTTCTGAGCTGAATCAAGGGCACAGAGTTGCCAAAGCCCCTGGGGGGGGGGTAAATCAACTTGGGGGCCTATTGCAGTTTAATAAGGATCAGCATAAACAAATAGGCTGAATAGATGTTTATTCAGGTAAAAATAACTTACAACCTAGACAGATGAACATCAGCAAGTTCCACCGGATGCTCTCCTCTCCCTGTCCCACCAGCAAGAGATCGTTCCCAGCCTCCTCCTTAGACCTAGTTCCACCAGTCACTTCCACCACTGGCTCCACCCCCAATAGGCATGGTCAGTGCCACAGAAGCAGACAAAGTGAATATCCCACTACAATTCCCCTTTTAGTCTAAAGAAAAGATTTAGGCTTGATACAAAACTATATACAAAACAGTGAATAACAAGTGTGCTCTAAGAAAAGGAAAATCAAGAACAAAACGACCTACATATCTAGTCCTAGGGTGAAGGCATAACGGAGGAGTTTACAATAGAGTGGTCCTAAGCTGGAAAACGTAAGTCTAGTACCTAATATATCTAACTAGGAAGAGAGAATAATAGTTGTGATAGTTTAATCTTCAAACTCATCAAGAACTGAGAAGGAAAATAACGATACTAAGGTAGACAGGAAGTGCAGATGGGCAACTTCCAAAAGGTGCAGCAAGGACAGAAACAGCAAGCTACCCAGACAGTCACCCAAGGTCTCACAGCAACCTTGGTACACCCAGTTTTGGCTAAGGCCAAGAGTCCTTGACAGACCACAACAACGGCAGGGAGGTAGAATGGCTGTCTTACCCTGACTTGGCAAGGTTCAGCAGTCTTCTATATTTGTCTCCTTCAAGCACATAGGACCGCATGTCCAAATCAGTGGTCAAGGTGGGGCAGTTCTTTGCCCAAGAGGCCATTAGCCGAGGCAAGAATGAACTCCAGAAGGAGCGACAACAGTGTCCAACATGTTTTTGGGAAAGTGCATGATGCTGTCAGGAGCAACAGTGTCTCATGTCAATGGAGTACTAATATTAAAACATTTAAATGCCATGTTCTGCATGTCTATGAAGTGATTGAAGATTAAGCATCTATGTCTGACTAATCTCATAGGTAAAGGAAACATGGGTGAAGATAATCTGTAATACTCAGGAACTTAGCTAAAAAAACTGATTAAAACTTCCTTGAGTAAAGCAGGGATAAATACCAAAACAATATAACTGTATACATATATATATATGTAAACCCCTAAAATAGAGGTAGTATAGAAATGTCTAGACAAGAGGTAGAACTATAAAGGGCAGCATGATAAATATCACAAATTGTGTCAATATACAAAATGTCTTGAATACAAGCAAAATTATACATACATAGAATATGGTAAGAATAATGTGCATAAAACATCATAAATGGAAAGATTTTACACAATATGACAAAAATATCATCTACAATTCTTCCGAGAAGGGAATATAAATTTAATTTTACATAGGTTATCACAAATAAGAATATATAACAATGTAAGCTGTATAATACTAATATCTCACTCTTACTAAATAATTCACAAGATAGGCTAATCTACCTATATCCCATCTAAACCATACTTTCCCCAACCATACCCTATTCCTGTCTAAAAGAGATACCCGAGTCTAAGCATCACCTTCCATACCCAATCCTAAGTAACTAAAACTAACCCTAAGAAGATGAATATTATCACTAAATTCCAAGAGTGGGGAAAGGGGGCATCGTTATCTTAAGATTACTTCCTGCTGAAATGGGACGATGACTGCTCCGTGGGATCCTGTAGGAAGAAAATTTTTAGCAACCAAATTTCTCAACAGAACTGGCTATAACATATGTAGCTAGTCACTGTGTGGCAGGAAATGCTTGGAGTTCTATCTGAAATTCTGGCCAGGGTATAATAGGAAGGTGCACCATTACAGCTAGCTAGTCAGGAATTGTCTCGAGCAAAACAGTCTCAAACCAGTTTTAGGGTGATGTTTGTAATCCAGATGCATATTGTTGAATCAAATGGAAATGATGACGTGGGGCCCCATCTTCTTTCTGGAGAGTTCAAAGATTCCTGTTAGGAATTGTTATTATTTCTTGTGGAAAACTTAAACATCAATATTAAAGTAAAATTTTCAAGTTTTAAGGTATGCCTAAGGGAAAGGCAACAATAAGGATTAAAATGTATATGAGAAAATTGTGTATAAGCGAATGAGTCCCCATATTTTGTTTTCTTCTGCCTTACACCAATTGGCTTCTTGATTTAAGGCAGAAACCGTGAATTTAATATTAACAACATGCTTGAATTTAGAGAAGGAAAGCCAAATCCATCTCCACAGCCAGCATTAGTTATTCATCTTAACTATCAATCTAGGCCTAGACTGTTTATAGAGATTTGCCAAAATATACGTTTTTTATTTCCTTCTGTCATGTTTGATTCAACTTCCATCACTAGTTAGTCATCCATAGCGGTATGAGTTTTTACAATAGGCACAGAATTTTCTAATTGTCCTGTGGGAGATTGTCCTCCACTGTGACTGGGAATGTTCGGACCACCTTTGACATGGGGGCCTTCGAGAGGCTCCCCAAGGAGTTTCTCGATGCTAAAGGGTTTCCTTGCTTGTCTCTGGTCGATCTACACTCATTTGTCCAGTGTCGGCCTTTGCCACACCTTCTACATAACCCAGAAGCCTGAGGCCTTCTGTTCAATTCATTCCTGGGAGTGTTATTTCTAGGGATGCTTTGCCTACAATTTCTTTTTAGATGTCCTATCTTACCACAGTTATAACATCTGACATGTTGATATCTCTTCAAACCTTTGGAGATGGCTTCTCCTACCCAAGCTTCTATGTCACCATAGTTAAGACCTCTGTTATCTTGATGTCTTCACAGACCTTTAGATATGGCTTCTCCTACCCATGCTTCAGTGTTATTGTTATTATACTCAATATTGGCTGTATATAGGACCCATTCATCCAAAGGTGCCTATCTGATTTTTAAAGGCCAAAACACTTCTTTGCATTGAGGATTTGCATAGTCATAAGCTAAAGATTCTATGAGTATTTGCCTAGAATCTATGTCTGCAACCTCTAATTGTACTGCCTTAGATAATCTTTCTAGAAACACACTAAAGCATTCTCTAGGTCCTCACCTTATCTTGGTATAGGATTCTATCCTCTCCCCTAATTCATGAACCTTATACTAAGCATTCAGAGCTGCTGTACTGCATAGAGACAAGATATGTTCATCATAGGCAGCTTGGGTTTCTGGGTCAGCATAAAGACCCTCACCAAAAATTTTATCTTGGGGAGCTTTATAACCTTTCTTTAAGCCCTGAAGTTCAAGAGCTTTTGCTTCCTCCATAAAGCCCTCCATTCTAACTGAGAGGAGTTTTCAAGGACAGCTGATACTAATTGATCCCAATCCTTAGGGGTTACCTTGTTATTCCTTGCCCATGATTCTATTAATTGCTTCACATATGGTGAGTGCATGCCATAAGAGACTACTGCTTCCTTTATACTTTTTAAATCTTTCATACATATTGGTTCCCACTGATATGCAATGACACCTTTTGGATGTTTTTTCATTGCTGGTTTTTCATTAATAGATACAAGGAAATCTCCCCTGACCCTAAATGGTGTGGAAAATTTTAAGTCTTTTTCATGCCCTGTTACCTGCAGTTCTTCTTCTTATGTATCAGATTGAAGGTCTTCTAAGGCCTGAAATCTATTCATCATTGTTTCTTTGAGTGTCTGAACTTCT